CCAAATTAATGGGTCAGTGTTTCATCTTTCAGGATTTCTCAACATTTCTAAAAACATCTTTATCTCAATCTTTTCCTCATTTGTAATTTTTGGAAAATACATTGATCCTAAATCTAAGCACCTTATTTATTTTAAAATAATAGGGAAAAGGCATTGGTCCAGGTCACACCATTTGAGCAAAATATAGGAGCTGACAGAAATTTAGAGAAAATAGAAAGGGACTCTGTGCAAGAAAATGAAATAAATGTTTTGTAAAAATAATGTTTATCTGCTTTGTAACCCAATTCTGTGATATACATTTGAAACAAATATTTATCTTTTTTTGTAAAGAAAATTTATATTACTTATATAATGTGTAAATACCTGGAGAAGTAGCAAGTGTTCCTTTTTAAAATGCATCCTGTAGATAATAAAATTATTTTGTAGGAAAAAATTAGTACAATATTGGCTGTGTGTAATATAAAACAACAAATAAAAATGTAAGAATTACAATTTTCTTAAAAGCCCCAGGTTTCTTTGTGAACCACTGCTAAAATTTTCTGTGTTTGAAATTACATTTGCCTCCTGGAAAGAAAAAAGACCCACCACTAATTTCACCTTATATAAAATGAATTCTATCAACAGTTAAAGTAATAATTGTGTGGTGACATTTCAGTAGCAAAAAAGATGACCTCAAAAGGTCATGTCAATCCAATTCTAATGACAGTCACAGCTGGACTGTTAATTAATGCCTGGGACACAATGTAGATTTTTATATTTTTACAACTAAATATCACACATCTAGCAACACAAGAGACCTTTCTTAGAAAAAAGTAGCCCTTAATTATCTTAGATTATTGCCACCAGAAAAAGAATCTATAAGTGTACATTAGAGAAAAAGATGCATTCTACATGATGCTATTTTCCTAAGTGGAAGGGAGAACATGAGAAATAATTGACTTTATTTGAGTGTGTCAATTTTAAAGACTAGGAAGTCAATCACTTTTAATGAGCATTGGGAAAATCTAACTGCCATAAGCTGCCTTCTCTTACTATTAATTTTCAGTCTGTATGCAGATGGAGAAATACATATTTTCTTCTAAAGTCCCTTTATAAGCTTTAGAAGACAAGATTTTTAAAAATAAAGAATTCTCTCAAATACCTTTTTAACCTAATATTAGGGAAGCTGGTTTTAGTGATGGTTAATACTTGTACCATAGAGTTTATTAAACATTTTAAATATCATCCTTGGTTAAAAAGTTAATAAATCATTATAAAATAATAGATATGATACAGTAGGTATTTGATAATTGGTACCTGCTAATACTGTATTTTAGAAAACTGATATACTTGGATTCTGAAAGAGCAAAAACCTTAAATAGGGATGAGTACGAGAGGTATGAAAGGAATGAACCATGGCCCTCTGACAGAGGATCATGGAGAATCACCTTTCAAGCCTGCATTTAATACATTAACTTATCTATTTAACTTCTCCAATTGATTATACAACATCAAATTCCCTTGCTCAAAATCATGGGCACTATGACAGTAAACCTTATACTGACTAGCCTGGGCATGGAATCAATGTGGTTTAAAAGCACTAGTAAAAATGAAGTCTAGGCTGCTATTCAAAACAGAAATTTGTTGAGAACTTTTCAGAACTGAAGCAATTTCTTTTAAAAAAATTTTTAAATATATTTTATTGATTATGCTATTACAGATGTCCCATTTCCCCCCTTCATTCCCCTCCGTCCTACACACCCCCTCCCACCCACATTCCCCCTCTTTAGTTCATGTCCACATGTCATAAGTTCTTTAGCTTCTACATTTCCCGTACTATTCTTGCCTTCCCCCTGTTTATTTTCTACCTACCATCTATACTACTTATTCTCTGTACCTTTCCCCCTCTCTCCTCCTCCCACTCCCCTGCTGCTAACCTTCCATGTGATCTCCATTTCTGTAGTTCTGTTCCTGTTCTAGTTGTTTGCTTAGTTTGCTTTTGTTTTAGGTATTGTTAATAACTGTGAGTTTCTGTCATTTTACTGTTCATATTTTTTATCTTCTTTTTCTTAGATAAGTCCCCTTAACATTTCATAAAATAAGAGCTTGGTGATGATGAACTCCTTTAACTTGACCTTATCTGAGAAGCACTTTATCTGCCCTTCCATTCTAAATGGAATCTGTGCTGGATAGAGAAATCTTGGATGTAGGTCCTTGCTTTTCATGACTTGGAATACTTCCTTCCAGCCCCTTCTTGCCTGTAAGGTCTCTTTTGAGAAATTAGCTGACAGTCTGATAGGAACTCCTTTGTAGGTGACTGTCCCCTTATCTCTTGCTGGTTCTAGAATTCTTTCCTTCATTTTAATCTTGTGTAATGTAATTATGATGTGCCTTGGTGTGATCCTCCTTGGGTCCAACTTCTTTGGGACTCTCTGAGCTTCCTGGACTTCCTGGAAGTGTATTTCCTTTGCCAGATTGGGGAAGTTCTCCTTCATTATTTGTTCAAATAAGTTTTCCACTCTTTGCTCTTCCTATTCCCCTTCTGGTATCCTTATAATTCGGTGTTGGGATGTTTAAAGATGCCCTGGAGGTTCCTAAGCCTCTCCTCATTTTTTTGAATTCTTGTTTTTTCATTCTTTTCTGTTTGGTTGTTTCTTTCTTCCTTCTGGTCCTCTCCATTGATTTGAGTCCCAGTTTCCTTCCCATCACTATTGGTTCCCTGTGTATTTTCCTTCATTTCACTTAGCATAGCCTGCATTTTATCATCTAATTTGTGAACAAATTCAACCATTTCTGTGAGCATCCTGATCACCAGTGCTTTGAACAGTGCACCTGATAGGTTGGCTATCTCTTCGTAACTTAGTTGTATTTTTTTCTGGATCTTTGACCTGTTCTTTCATTTGGGCCACTTTTTTTTTGTCTTGACATGCCTGTTACATAGTGAGGGGCAGAGCCTTAGGTGTTGACCACGGTGGTCAACCCATGTGGCTGGGTTGTGAAGTTGTATGTGGGGGCTGGGTCCAAGAGGGAACAATAGCACTTTCTCTGCTCTCCTATTTCAGTCCCTTCCTCTGCTTCCCACAAGCAAATTGGGCCCTTCTGGTGCTGGTTCCCAGGTGGGTGGAATTGTGTACATTCTAGGATCCTGTGGGTCCCTCCAAAGAACTCTCCTGTGAGGCTGGGAGTCTCTCCCAGCATCTCAACCCCCACATGTGTTTTCAATCAGTGCTTTTAGGCTTTATTTCCTGGTGCCAAGGCTCCAGGTTGCACAGTCTGTCTCACTCCCCATTTTTACGTGGTTTATCTGTCCACGAATGTGTTCTCGGTCAGCCAGTGGCCTTGCGTGCCTCACTGGGTCTGCCAGCCACTGCCTGTGCACCTGAGACAGCCAACCACCGCTTTTTCCCGCCACGACCCCTCTCTGTAAGCTGCCAACTCTGCCCCTCTTACTGGTCTAGATGAATGGTTGTCGGACTTCCATACAGTTCAATTTTCTGTCAGATCTGGTTGTTTTTTTGTTTCTAAATTTTTGTTGTCCCTAATTTTGGTTGTGTGAAGAGGCACAGTGTGTCTACCCATGCCTCCATCTTGGCCGGAAGTCCTGAAGTGATTTCTAAACCACTATCTGAACCTAGTCAATATCTTTTAACTCCCTGGCATCGTCCATATGCTTTTTAAAATCAATTCTCTTAATTAAACAGCAGTCAAAAATTTAACTGTACCTCTCCCTTCTGTTGTTATTTAAAGCTAAGTCAGGTGGGCAGACCACATTCTGACACCACATAAAAATGCCCCATTTACACTGGGTTATCAAGATAGATCATTAGTGAATCTGGTAGTGACAGTTTTGAAGCAAAACCCTGATTTTGGAGAAGGGAGCCTCAGCTTTCTCCAGGCTAAAATCGGGCAAGCAGTACTTCTTGGAAGAACTCAATCTAGTAGAACACATTTCTTGTTTACTCCTATAGAACTTAGTCCAACTCTGTAACTTTAAATGGAAAATAAAATCATTTTTTTGAGTCATTCTTAATTTGTATTTTCTATCTCTTATCTTGCCCTATTATGTTTTACTATATTAGTAAACTACAGATTTGACAGATGACCTATACTTTTCCCAGTAAAATGAGCTAGGGAGGGCACCAAAAGCAAGAAGCATAATTTTTATTTCTCTAGTTATCTTATCTAGCAATGTAATTTTGGGAAATAGGAGGACTGGCTTTCTTCTTTGTATACATTCTATAAAGAATCTGTAGTTTTGTAGTAAATAGTACCCTGACTGAAATTCTTTAGAGACATTTTAACTTGGAGACATTTATTTCATAAACAAATGTTTCACATTGCATCAGTTTTTTGAACTAAATTTTCCTTGATATTAGTCTGTGCTTTCATGGGTGTTACACAATCCAATTCAACATGGTGCATATAGACCTCATCCCAATTTGCAATGTGGTATGCTACATGGTTGCATGGAGCACAGCCAACACCAGACTTGACTGTGAGCAAATGATTACATGCATAGGAATCCTTATTGATTCATGGATTTGTAATATGGGATTTCAATCTCTTATTGGTCTTAACTACACATAAAATTAATACTGTAAGAAATAAATATGTATACACAACCAACAAAGTTATTATCATTCTATTTATCAGCTGCATGTTGCTCTCTAATTAAAGGCACAACTCTAGCAGTCACAAGGAGAATATCACATTAATAGATTTGACTATTTGCAAATTCCACAACCTACCTACCATGATTAGGAGATTATCAGAAAGAATCAAGACACACTTTATGAAGAAGGTAGATAAGGTCTCTGGATACCTTTCCTTTTTTAAAAATAAAAGGGAATGAAGTTTGAATGTCAAAAGAACAAAGGTTATTTGTACTTGTGGAGGCATGACAGGTATGGAGGTGATTTGCCCCAAATGAAGCATGGATGAGAAGGGAGAAATGGGATCATGAGATGAGCATGGCTGTGACAGGGGTGGCAGGTGGTTGGTGGGAGGGAGGTGGTGCTCACCACTGTCCCCTCCACTGTCTCCTCAGCCCAGGTGTCCAGTCCATGATCCAGCCCAACAGCGGATGCTGCAGCAGCAAGGGGCTCCTCTGCTTTCAACTCTGTTGGTGGAGCCTGTTCAGTCTCAGCCTTTGATTATTTGTTTTGAAGGTTAGAGGAAAAAGATGTAACATATCAATAGATAGCATTACAGAATATTGGAAAATTAAGATTTTCTTAATCATCCTATAGGCAACTAGCTTCATCAAATCTGTGTTGAGAAAAAGCCCCACTTTCGGCATCATGTTCCTTTACAGAACTGGAAAGTCTAGAAATGGACTCTAAAGGCTTCTCTTTTACCAGTAAGAACTGTCATTTCCCTTGATGTTAGGCAAAGGTTTACTATTTTGGCTTTTCATTTTACTTGCAACATTTTGACTGCTCACTTCCTAGGATATCTGTACGAGATGCTAAAATGGTACATTCTGTTATTTGGGGGTGGTGGGAGAGAGGAGAGATATCCTAGGAGCCTTACCATTGCCAGCTGAAAGAAGTGAGGAAGAGTTTACAGTGCACAGTTCTGGGAACTCCCAGCTTTATTCATATGCATTACACCAAACATTTAAAGATTTAAGATTCCTTCCAATATTCATATCATAATGCACTAATCTGCACAGGACAGCATTCTCAGTGACACTAATTAGACTTTTCTAATTGTGAGGACAACAGCAAAGGTCTTTCATCCTGCTGTGACCTCTATGCATAGATATCATCCTGATTCCAGCTCTTAAAGTCTCTTAGCTGTAGGCTCTTTTGGTTTTTAAAAGAGCAGTATTAAATAATAATAGGCCATCGAAAACACCACAGCCAATGTATGTTGCCATGGTTACTTAAAATTCTCCCACTTTTTCAATTTTGGTTAAATAAGCATATTTATTTAGCAGGATTTTTTCACTAAGTGTAGGGCTGTTAGAGGGCATATTAAGATTTTTTCCATTAGAACATTTGAACTGTGAAAGAGTTTAAAAGTATTTTCTTAGAGGAGTAAGAAGTCACCAATAAATACTCTGAATGGAGAAATCAGTTAACTTCTGTTAGACACCATAATCAATCAAAAGTCACCTCTAGTTCTATGCATTCATCTAAGCTGATGTACCTGACAAGTTCTACAGGGAAATGACAAAGAAGTTATGCTGAGATTAGGAAAAAATGAATAATGAATAGCCTAGTGTCAATAAACATGCAAAGGAGTTATCCTGTGCACCCACCAAATCCTCCATTGTGATGTACACCATGATCATACTGCCCTTCTCTTTAAGGGCAAAATAAAATAGAAAATGTTGGTAGTTAAGTGTGTAGAAATTTGATATTTTTATGGGTTTTTACAACTTTTATAGGTATTTTGATACAATTTTTAAGAAAGAATGAAATAAAATTCACTCTAATATACTCTTTATGGGAAGAGATGTCACTTTTACTATTCAGAAGAGTTATCTTTGTAATGAAACAGGTTTTTATAGTGACAAGATAGAAAGGGAAACACAGGTAAATTGTGAATTATATCTCACAAAAAGATCTAAAATAGTCTTGTCAGAATTGTGCCCTTCTTCAATAACTTTTTTCTATAAGATGCATCCCCTGACAAACAATGCAAAAAGGTTGACTCCCTATTATTTGCTCAATTTGTCATCATCCTACATTAGAGGAGAGGGAACTCTTTACATTTACTGTGGCAGCAGGATGCCACAGTAGATAAATTCAGAGACTGAGAAATGGAATTTTTCCTTTAGAACAAAACTAGTTGTATAAACTTGCCCCACACTTCCCAGTAGCCTCTGTGATATGATGGAAGGAAAGTTGGTCAATGCAGAGAAAGAGGATATGGATCAAATAGTAAGGCTAAGGGTCTAGTCATATTCCAACATGGCATTTGCAGTACAATCTTATTTCTCCAGTCTTGGGAGAGTTAATTGGGTGAGATGCAAAATGACAAGGAGGTAATTCTGAGCTCTGAGCAAATTTGGCAGATTCCAATGGTTTAAGCTGGCACTCAAAGAATGTGTTGTGGGCTATGCAATGCAGTCTGGGAAGGTGTGCCTCTAACTACCAACTTTAACCTCTACCTCACTCAAAATAGTCAGTGACCTAATGTTGGGAAACTCCTGCTTCTGGGAAAATCCTGTAAAATCATAACTCACCAGGAGATATAGGTTCACTGTGGCTTCCTAGTGCCCAACAGGAAGAAGTAATGCCTACAGCACATGCAGTGCTGGGCATGACAAAACTAAGTTCCCCAATGGGAAGAAGGTCCAAGATATATGCTTCAGAGACAACGTGTTAAGAGAAGAACAAGGCAGGCAAGAACCTCCTGGAACCGGCTGTGAGAGCTGGAAGATGTTCAGAGAAACTTAAAAACCACTGGATTCTATGACTGGGCTTTTGCAACAAAGTAATAAGTGTGATTTTAATTTATGACCAATTCTTTCCCTTACACCAGTTATTCTCCATTTTCTTAATTCACAATTGTCAGTTAAAAATTTCATCCTCCAGTATCAATATAATCCTTACTCCATCACCCAGGCAGAAACTAACCAATAAATATAAATTATAAGTCTTTCTTACTCAATTATTAACACCAACATAGTTTGTACCTTAAACACTTCAATCTTTATTTGAAGGCCACACAGACTCCACCTATTACTAGGTTACCCAGAAGTGTGAAAATCTATGACAAAGGTATTAGAAACACACATGCTTTTGAACAAATATTAAATTATCCTTTAGACAAACTTCCCAGAACAGAATTCCTTACTTAGAAGTATAATCATATTAAAAAAAATCATCCCATTTAAATGCAATTCCAAGCTCCCAACATGAAAGCCAGGAGCTAAGGTAATTACATACCATTTCCATGGGAAAACCAGTGAACTACAAATAGCCCTTGTGCATTAATACTCAGAGATCCAAAATCCTTTGTGGTGTATCACTGACAAGTGGCATCACTCAAAGTCTCTTCATTCAACTTTATTACTAAGCTGATGCTAGAAAGGTTTCCCAGGATACCTGTAATGTCCATCTTGTAAGATTTCTTCTAGAACCAAGAGTCATAAGCTTCCTACTCACTCTCTAGCCAATCTTTTCTCCCATCAAAGTAGGAATCACACTTCTAATATGCATTACTTCTTTCTTCAACTTACAAAAAGGAGGGGATAAGAAATGAGGTAGTTTCATGTTAAAAAAATGATCTATCTTGAAACATGAATTCTTAAAGGAATTTCATTTTCAATCCTGTAGCTTAAGTTATATTCATGTGAAAACATCCTATCCTTGATGGATTTATGCTGTTCCACTGGAGCCCATAATTAAAACACCTCTGTTTCTACTGCAATCACTGTGTCTTTATAAAAAGAAGCAACCACATTCAAAGCCACACTGAAATTTTTCAGAAGCTCTCCTTCCTATTTTCTAGAAAATAAGGAGTTGCAGAAACCACATTCTGGATATTCAAGCTCTAGAAAATCAATCAATAGTAACTATTAACTTCTTGAAAACATAAACCAAAATCAACTTACCAGCATATTCTGATCTGTCGCCATTGTGAATAATGAAGTGTCCTGGGGCTGAAAATCAGAGAGAAGATACAAGAAGATTAAAAGTATTAAGATTTCAGCTAATTTGCTAAAAAAACCCACAAAGATACCATTTAAATTAGCTCTCATGAATTGTATCAATGAACACACTATACAGTTTTTAACAGTCTGTATTATAATCAGAAAAGCAAAAAATGAAAGAGCAATTTTTAACAGTAGTTATTGTAAAGATAACTCTGAGCTAGCAGAACATGAGGACATGACAAGAGACATTAAATGAAAGGCAGTGTCTTCAGGGGTATCACTGGTCTACAGCTTGTCCTCTGGACACCTGTTCTGAATTAGAATTGAGTTGTCCTAAACTACAAATTTAAACTTTTTAAATATTGGAAATTCAATCTTATTATCTTACCTAAGTGTGACTTGTACAAGTTAATTATGATACATAACTTAAAATTTTTATATAATATATTCATTGACTTAATAATCAAGATGGAGGATTCTAAGAAAATAGTGATTCTAAGGGAATATTCATCTCTCATTATAATGGCAGCTAAGCTTACACCCTCCAGATAGGAAACCAGCTGAGTCTTCCCTTGAAAATCTGGTCAATTCAAGAAAGAAAAATACCTACAAAAATTGTGACATCAAGTGTTCTCCAACAGAAATGATGAGGAAGTGACATTTGGTTAAAGATGATCGGTTAAATACAAGCAATTACCTTTATTACCTCCAGAATTCAAACTAAATAACAATAAAGGTAATTTCATAAAGCAAAAATTTTAAAGGCATAAACATGTAAGTATAAAAAGAATAGGAAGAAAGCTGAGATCAGTAAAAATTTTTAATTGAAAATCAGAAAAATTAGCAATAAGAAACTTGGTGGATCCCAAAAGATTGGTAACCTAAGGCAATGTAAGAAATGCCCAAACAATCCAATTTATTACTCAGAACTCACAATGGATCAAGAATTAGAAACATGGGAACCCTAGGAAAGGGAAGTTCTGCTGGTGCTAAAGACAGGGAAGATGGTTGAAAGTTTATTAAAAAGTAATTAGACTGTGAGATACTCTCACGTATCTGAAAACCAAGCAATAGTCTTTCCTGCTCCAGCACAAGGTTTCAGATTATGTCCGTACTGCCTGAAACAGAGGGTCTCTGGACTGGGGAAACCACAGGAGTATTAGGAAAGTGGCAGAATTACATGAGCAGTAACATAATGAATATTGACAAAATGGGGCCCACCTCCCCAACTTCTTCCTATTCACCTTCTATTACACTGGCAGCCAGGCTTGTGCACCTCACACAGGGGAACAGGAGAGTATTCCCAGAGAAATTTCAAGAAAAAAAATATCTAAACATGTGACATAAAGGGCTCCTCAACAGAAAAAAATGAGATAGAAAACCCTAGAAAAATGTCTGTAGTCTATGAGCTGTACCTACCCATACAAGTCTCCTGTCAGCTTTTTAGTATCCCAGTCTTAAATATGAGTGGGCAGCCAAGATTGTCAGACATTTAAGAAAAGTCTCTTTATTAAAAGGATAAACCAAATAGTAAAAACAAACAAAACACAAAGACTTTGCATGGGGAAAACACCTTTAAAATTATTACTATTAATATCTTCAGAGATATAATGTAAGATGCTGTATCCATTACATAGGATGAGAATGCTATTAAAAACAAATATTCAGTCCTGACTGGTATAGCTTGGTGGATTGAGCACAGGCTGCAAACCAAAGGGTTGTCAGTTTGATTCCCAGTAAGGACAGATGCCTGAGTTGCAGGCCAGGTCCCCAGTATGGGGTGCTCAAAAGACAACCACACACTGATATTTCCCTCTCTTTGTCCTTCTCTTCTCCTCTGTCTAAAAATGAATAAATAATACCTTTAAAAATAAATACAAATATTTGGTAAACAGAAAGAGCTCTTGAAAATTGAATATATGTTTGTGAAAACTCTGTAGAAGAGTTGAAGGTAGAGAAAGATGACACAGAAAAGGAAATAGCAAATTAAAAAGCATTAGAAGACTAGCTCAGGAAGCTAACTCATGATAGAGAAGTGGTATAGGGTGAGAGATCAAAAACAAAAAAGAAATCATAAGTGAAATAAAAAAATTCCCCCAAACTAAAAGGCATACATTTTTGGATTAAAGTGCCTAAGACAATGTATGAAAATAGACTCAAACCAAACTCACCACTGTAAAATTTGAAAAACACTAGGAAAAAGAAAATTTTACAAACTCCCAGAAAGAGAGAAAAACAGTGTTAGAGATGTATAAGCAGTAGAGAGAGAGGGGGGAAAAAAAACAAATTTCTCATAAATATCAAGAATCAAACTGACAGTTTCTCAGTAGCAACATCAGAAGGTAGAATTGACTGGAACAATGGCTTCCAAATCCTAAGGGAAATGACTTACAACTTCTAACGAGATATCCAAAGTGACAGTCCATAATGTATACAAGGGCATTTTCAGATGTGTACTATCACAAACATATACCTCTCCTGCACACTTTTCTCAGGAAACTACTGGAGTATGTGCCTTAATTTGTGGGTGAGGAGGTATGTTAATTTGTGGAATTAAACCAAAAATGAGGAAGATTTATGTCCAGAAAAGAGCAGAATGACATAGGAGAGAGGCGAGGGTGATCCCCAGGACACGCCTAATGGGAGAGCCTGTGGTACCAACTGTGCTGTATCCTTTGAGTCCCCATTTTAGACTGGGGCAGTCTAGAAAAAGGGTCAAGTTCTTCAGAAGGTGACACTGATTGAATATTTAATGTTACCCAACAAAATGAGGGGAGATTTACTTAACTGCAGTTCATGGGTTCGAGCTACTAAGTAAACTAAGTAAACGAAGCAAACCGACCAACCAACAAATAGCACCCTACAATTATTTCCTCAAAGGAAATGAAAAAGTTGGTATAAAAGGAAATGTAAGCTTCATAACTCAGGCACAAATACCACTTATGTCATTGTTATAATATTGCCACGGATTGTCTGGTGGCTATGGCAGAACTACAGCAGAGGAAGGCAAGCAGAAGAGAGGGGCAAACTGTGCAGGTAGGAGGCTGAAGGTGCTTTAAGTCCTCACCTTCCAGAGAGGTGAGTCAATAGCTAATCCTTTAGAAATAAAAATGTAACTTCATAACAAAGTCATGCACACACAGAGGTAAAACCAGAGAATCTGTTAAAAGAAATGGAAGTACCTCTAAGCAACAGGAAATGGAGGAGGGATATGACAGTCTGAAATTTTTATATAAAAAAACCCTTATAAAATTTTGTGTTCTCTAAATTATGTACATTTATAAGTGATAAAAATACAAATCTTAAAACTTAGAAATGAAAAACAATTCTTATGACTCAAACTTTCAAGAGTTTATACAGATGGAAGAGGTACACTATCATCTTTCTTTGTGTTTGTATCTGTATTTAGGCATGGGTGAATGAGTGGGTTTCATCTTTTTATAAGTAACATGGGGGAAGTAATCGAACTTTTGAATAAAGAAATTCTAAACGTTAAAACTTGGAATTTTTCATGTTTAATATTCTGAGACAAAGCACTCATCACAAACTTCTGTTTGAGGTCTCCCTTCAAGAGGTTTTCAGAATTAATTCCACAAGCTTGATAGCCATGTGGTCTGCCTTTTATGTGGGTTACAGCTGTCCATCTGTGTGGACATACACTGCGAATGGGACAGTCCATCTGATGGCTCCTCTTCCTCAGATCTGCAAGGAAAATATTGCCTTCTTGGCCAGAGCTGACCTAAGATTCCTGATCTTCCAATGGCTCCCTAAAACATAACACATTTTCTAAAGACCAATTTCATTAGGTGAAAACAATCTTCTCTCCTCTTTTCAAACAGCTGGATCTAGTGGATCTCTAAGCCCAGTACAACTCCTAGTTTTCTAGTAGGGGAATCAGTATGTGGCAGAAGCCCACGGTATAGCTAATAATATTAACAATAGCTAACTACAGTCATGAAGGACTCAGTACGCACTAGGCTGCTGGACATACCTAATTTAACAGTCACAACAACCCTACAATGTTGATACTCTACTGTTTCCACTACTGAACTTACAAGTAATGAAGTTTTGTGCTAACATATTTAATCTTGACATACTAGTGAAAGAGGTTCTTATTTAAAAATTTTACATCTTTCTCAACAGATTGATTTTGCCAGCAAGTCAATTTCTTACCTGCGTGAATCCATTAAATGAACCATCAGGAGCCTAAATAGAAATGGAAATCAGATTACATTATTTTTTTCATCAATTTTGTAGGATTGGTGAATTCCCATTAGACAAGTTGGAAAGTAAAGAACACCACAAATTTTAAAATAATACAAAAGGTGAAAGTGCTTAGGAAACACAAAGGGCCATATTGTATTATTTAAAATAGGCTGACAAAAGAAAAAGAAAGATTATTTTTACAATTCTTGCAAGTGTGTGATTTAGGGGTAACCAAAACCCACTTTCTCAATAATAAGAGGATTTTGGAGAAAAGTCACAAGAGGATGAAAAGCTCTTGCTTTCAGGCACTGATAAACTCTAGAAGCATTTCTAGTATTTCTCTAACACAGTATTTTGTTAGATTTTTTAGATGACACATATTATTAGATTCTACATTTTTAGTAGGCTGAGGTAAAAACATTTCATGAACTCTTACTGGGATAAACACTTAAAAAAGGTAAATTAGTATGTTCTACATATTTGTAATACTTGAATAGAAAAATAAAAATAGGAAAAATTAACACAGTAAATTGATAGTAAAACAGACTCTCCTTAATACCAACATAATCATTCTGTGTTTTTCTCTTTGTCAACCTATTTGTGCTTGGTTTTCACAGACTTCAAAAGGTAGATGAAACAATGTATCAAGTAGATAAGGCAGGACTCAGAGAAGACAGTGATGGATAATGATATAGGTGGGAAACATTAGGATAAGCAGAACCTACAGAACTCTGTCTGGTCTATACTATACACTGGGGTAAGTACCTCTTCTTTATCAGCCTCTATTTCTTGGTACAACAATCCATATATCTGGTTAGCAATTTCATCTTCATACAAATCTGAGTTGTTGGTGCCATTGTCTTGGGGACTAGAAGAATTCTGGGAGGTTTTAAGAACCAACAGTCTGTCTCTTTGTTTTGTTCCTAGCAGTTATCAATGGCTTATTCCTCAAAAACATCTCCCACTAAGTCCACCTCCGACACTCTCTTGCTCTGAACTATATCTAAATGTTCTCAGCAATTATTGAATTCTTCCATATCACTAATAGGTGAATAATTAATATAAAGACAAAAAGCAAATACACTTGCTTGGCCATCTGGTATACCAGAGAATTCCAATAGGTCTGTATTATTCATTGCTGAATCCACACTTGACTGCAAGATTTGACCTGGATCTGTTCCCAGAGAGTATGTCTTTGCAATTCCTGGCAAGTTAATGGTATGACCACAATGCACAGTCACTGCACTTTCAGACCCCTCTATTAATGAATCTTCTGCCTTATACAAACACCAGTCCCTTCTGTTTGCATTAGTCTCCAGAGCATAATTAAGATCTGTCCTAGACTGAGCTGTCAATTCATGTTTCCTGGAAAAAAATAAAACCAGCCTATCATCTCTGTGACCTACAGGTGCTTGTAACACAGCCTCACAATGAATTTTAGCACCTGTACTTCCCTTTGCTGAATGATATATTATATCATGATTAGGAGGGTCTATTCATTTTTTATATCTTTTATACCTAAATCCCATCCCTCAGGGCTGGTATCTTCAACATTAAGCACAGAGTCAGCTGGGAGAGACAGATTCAGATATAAGTCTTTATACCTACATACCTATATACCTTTATTTCTTATACCTATCTCTTACATCTTTCCTAGTTTCCTCTTTATTGACTTTAAGGACACCTCATCTTGCTTTCCTATTGTCTTCCACCTTGTTTCCTGTACTTTCACACACTTTCTCTTCAACTTCCTCTGTACCTTCTAGACTCTTCAGATCAATAGTTCCAGTGTCTACCTTTTCATATGTCTCCACCACTGCCCACATAGAATCTTCTGTCTTCTGTTTCTCCTCCTCTTCTTCTGACTTTTTAATATCTTCTGGACTCTCTTTGACTAGGCCACCAGTTTCTAGGGCTAGCATCTCTGAGTCAGATGAATCATAAGGCTGCCCAATCTCCATACAAGCAGCAATAGCAAATTCAGCCTCAGGCATGGCCTTTGGGGACAGTTGTTCATTTCCACAAGGAGGGCCTGGCCCCAGGACATGCTCTCCCTGTCCAGCTATAGTGTGCCAGTTAGTAGAAGGAAATTTCCTGGTGGATAATCCCATGTCTTGCTCTGCTTCAGAGACACGTGCAGAGGCTTCCTGGTTCCCACCATGGGTAGTTTCCTGGCTGACACTGTCTGTTCTAGCATCAGGGCCCCAAATAAATTCACCTAGATCAATTTGAGATCTTTGAATTTCTTCAGCCAACCCACTCTCTGGAGTTTCCTCCATGATCAGGTTACACAGGGAAAGACTTTTTGAAGAGTCAGTCTTTAGAGTATGCAGAACAACAAAGGAAAAAGAAAACATAAGTTGAAAGAGATTGTGGTAAGAGTTGATGAGAAACACAAAGCTCTGAAGTAGGGTAGCACCAGTTATACAAAACTAGAGAATAGTTAAACCAAATAAATGGCTTAAGGTTATATCTGTGAGTAGCAATGCCATGGAAAAAAAAGAGCTCATTTTAGAGAATATACCATGTGTAAAATGCATATTACATACAAAAAATCCAGAATTTTCTGGATATTTACCTACCGGCTGTACCAAATCAGTGTTTGTCTGTATGAGTGAAAAATAATAATAATAATAAATCATAAGCAAGCTTTGGATTTAATTGCTTTTCTATTTCTAGATTCCTAAGGTAAAAGTTTAGATTAATGATTTTACATATTCTTTTCTAATACACATCAATATTATAATTTAATTTCTAAACATTGCTTTTGCTGCATCTTACAAATGTTGACATTGTATTTTTATTCTCATGTAGTTCAAAATATTTTAAAATTTCTCATATTTCTTCTTTGACCTATGTGGGGAGTGTGTTGCTTAATCTCCAAGTACTTTGGCATTTTCCAGGTATCTTTCTGTTAACCTATTTCTAGTTTAACTCCATTGTGATCTAAAAGCTATGGTTTCTATTCTTTTAAATATATAAAAATTGGTTTTATGGCCCAGAATGTGGTCTGCCTTGATTAACATTTAATGCTAAAACAAAGAGGATTGTTCGAAAATAATCAAAGCAAGAGAAAAAAATTACTTGCACATTAAAATCTCATGGTATCCAAAGTCAATATTCTGCTATGGGCTGTTATTTTCACTGGTTTGAGATTCAATAGCTTATTTTGTTATAGGAATTTGTTCTGTCCTAATACTCTTAAGACTACACAACTGAAACACAAAGGTTCTATTATTTTCTAGTAACAACAATGTTTTATGGTTATTGCATCACTGTTACTTTAGCAGACTCTAAAATGCAAAGTTTTAAATAAATAAGCAAGCATGAGAGCATGAGAGCAGCATCAAGCACTAGCAGCCCACAAATCACACAGTACCATCTGCTCTGACACAATATCAGAGTAAAACTGTCCCCAAACACACTCTGCACTTGGTCTGCCTCTGAGGTGGTTTTTGAATGGAGGATGATCTGATACTAACCACTCTAACTGCCTGGAGGATATTCCTCAAATTCAACCCAATCCTACAAGCTCTGTCGAAACAGCACTGGGGAGCTGAGAGCATCAAAAATGAAGTAATTATGTCCAGGGAGCTACTGTTTCACAATATTGTCACTGTTTCCATCCCTAGCAGGTTTGTCCTCTAAAATAGTAAATGCTCATTATGATATCTTTACCCTCACCAGGGAAAGAAATATGTGGTGTAGCTCCAACTAAAGATATGAAATATTAGATAACAAAAAAATTAACATTGTCTTCTTACTCTCCAAGAAAATTAACACAAAGTTGAGGCTAGAATTCCAATGTTCTGAACACTAATCCATGCATCCCTTTTTGAGAATATAGAAGCCAAACCAGATCACTATAAAAGATGTTTTCAATCAACATTTTTAGCTCTTCTCTTGAGAGCTTTCCAAAATGCTTCAAGAATTCAATGTAGCAGAGTATGACCTTGCTCCTGTGGCAGGGGAGAGGATAGTCACATTCTTGTTTTATGGGAAGAAAGTAATAATGCCACTTCAGAAGACCACAGGCTCATGAACAGCTAGATTATCCTGTTGCTGTGTCACTAAAAAAAGAAAACATAAAGCTCCAGTAGAGTTCTTATGACCACAGGTCCAGGGAGTTCTAAGACAGGGGAGACAAAAGCTCCACCCCAAGGGATGTGAGGCTCTATACGGTGTAGCCAGTATTCTCATTTCATACCCAGATGCTGCCACCACAAAGCTCTGTTTGTGTCTTTTTCCCAGCTCTACATTCTGGAGGCTCTCATCCTTGCACTCCTACCTTCTACTGACACATACTAGACAATGAGCTAAATACTTTACAAATACAAATATTGTCTCACTTAATCCTTACAGTACCCCCTGTGGTAGGTATCATTACCCTTATTTTGCAAATGACAGAAACTGAGGCTGAAAGACTTTTAGAAATTGCTCCAAGTCATATGGTTATAAGAAGTAGAGTTTGGACTCAAATCAGGGCTGTCTAGCTCTAAAGCTCAAATTCTTACTGATTAAGCCTCATTGAAAATAAAAGTGAAAAACTTCCCTGTGCAGAGTAGCCTATCCCTTACATTTGCTCATTTACACTTTTCTTATATTCTATAAGCAATGAAAAATGTGTACATCCTTTCCTACAACATTTCTTCCAGCCACCAATAATCACAGAAAGAAGCACAAAGGGCACATCCAATTCTTGCTCATCCTGGAGTCTTGCACACAGACACTCTTCTCCTCACCATCATTTCCAAGTGCTGGTAATGCTGGGACCATCAGGGAGTTGATGGTTACTCTGGGGGATACACTGTTATTAAAAATGTTTGGATCTTCTTTCCATGACAAACACAATAAAATATAACAAGGTTTCTAAATTTCTAAGGATTCTGATACATTGAAATATACAGTTCTTAGTATTCTTACCGTCCATAGGTCCCAGGGCAATGTCTGAAAACAAACAGAAAATAAAAATACTGTTAAGTATACAAATCCCAAGCATGTACAAATTACTGAGATGAAATTTTTCCTGAAATAAAATAATAAGCACTTTGAAATATTTAGTACAGTGTTGTTCAACAGAACTTTCTTTAGTGATAAAAATGTTCCTTATCTGTGCTGTCTGATATTGGTAGCCATGAGTAACATGTGGCTTTTGAGAACTTGAAATGAGCTAGTGTAACAGAATCCAATTTTTCATTTTACATAGCTTTATTTGATGTAAGTTGCAAAAGCTAAATGTGGTAAGTGCTACCAAAGCACAGGTCTAATCAATGTGCCTTTAGTATACAAGTAGAAACTATACATGACATAATGAATGGTTTACATTAACATACACACATACACACAATTAAATGAAGTAAACAAGGTGACCAGACATGAGTTTATCACATCTTTGAGGAAATGTGCAGATTCTAATCATGGCTAATGCCATTTCCTCTCTTCCCCACACCCAAACTAAGAGGAGGCATTATGACCAGTTTGATGGCAAATTACTCCTGGAAAAATAGTGCCTAAATAGGTTGAATTACATAACACACTCAATTAATAAATAATCATAAAAATTAGTAGGACCCCCTAAAACACATGAATGAATTGTACTTACTACTGGATTTTTAATATAAAACTTATTGATCCTGGGGAATAAATCCAGATAGATCAAAAATTACTTTCTCTGTATATAGGGAAAATGGGAGAGATCTCTTTTTCTTATGTCTTCTCTGATTGAGAATTACTACTAAGCAATATTCTTTTTTTTTTGCTATGACTTTTCAAACGTGTTTTTAATCCCTAAAATGTAAGCAGCAAGTAAGGGCATCTGGCATTTCCATTTTAGGAATCTGATAATTTCCATATGGGACTACAGGTGTCTCATTTGTACTTTGTACTACAGAACCTGAGCCCTGTGGTTCTGACTGAACCCACCCGCTGCTCTGGCCTACTTGAACTGCACTGCCCCACACACCCTGCATCTCTGTGCAGCATGGTCGATCTTAGGGTTAGCATCCACTTTTAGGATGACTAAGATGGAAAGTAGAACAGCTCCACTGAAAACCACAGGTATTGGAACACAGAGTCCTTTGCTTTTAATATACATTTTCTGATCATCCAAATGATTTACATTTCCTTGCCTCATGGATCCTTAAGGATCACAGCTCCTAAAAGCTGATACATATGCCTGCATAATGCAGATAGCAGCAGTAATTTTCTCCAAAGGAAGGCAGCAATTGAATCATCATGTTTATCAGGTCTCAGGACCATGAATTTCCTGTGCACATGTCAGAAATCACAATGTGAGGTATCCTGTTGGAAGCAGGAACATCAGCCCACAACATAGGATTGGGTGATGGGTAAAGAATACCACTTTGACTGAAGGGAAAAGAAGGCCAATAGAACATAACAGCTTTGTTCTTTTTGTTATCTCAGGCTAAGACGTCTTAGAAAAATGGAAGAGATATAATTAGAACTGGATCGCAGGCCAACTCTGCAGTGCTGTGACTCACTTATGGCCACTGGGAAGCTAGAGAAGTTTATTACTTGGCCCAAAAAAGAATTGAGTGGTACCTGGGAATTTTCCTAACTGCAGTGATGCTTTTTCTTTAGAACTAAGACTTAACCAAGGTCCCTCTTCCAAAAAAATTCTGAAAGAATCTTGGTCCTATTGCCACACAAACTTCCATGATATATGGATTTATTTACTCATGAGTTGATATAAAAGAGGTTTCTCTCTTGATTCAAACTTACATACAGAAATGCTGTGGAATCTCACCCACTGATCATCACAGCATCCACTGCTAGACTTTTCCTTCCCACACTAAAGTAATGAACAGTAGAAAGTCAGGCTGAGGAAGTCTATAACTTCTGCTGGCTGCACAATGAGAACTCTGAGGAACACATATTCTGAGTGATACGTACATCCAATGAATGTTAAGAAAGTGAGTAAACATATTTGGGAAATACTTAGGACATATATGTTCTAAGTTAACAAATCTAAACAGGTTTTTCTTTTAATTACAGGATTTCTTGGAACCTTTAATATTCTCATACATATCATGAATTTCCTGAAAGGGAAGCAAAAGAAATTTCTGAAACATTTAGTTACCCATGTTTTGCAAAATATCTTTAAGGCTAGTGTCTTATCTACTTAATTTCTGACTTTGTTGACATCTCAGGTATTTATTATTCTCCTTTTACAACACAAAGGCCCTAAGAAAACCAATTATCTAGAATAAAGCATGGATTAAAGAGTTTTACTTATTGAGGTTCATATTGAGCAGTCTGTTCCCCAGGGGTTTGTTTACTTTAAGGTTTCAAGAAAGCTTCAAGATGAGAAAATTGAGCTGGACCTCAATCTTCAGTTTTATAATAAATCATTACTAATTAATTTGAAGTATATACTAACATCTTTGGATTTGTCCAAAATGAAATGGGAGGCTCAGATAATATCTAAAATAGTGATATAAATAATTTCTTTTTAGCCAAATTTTGAATTAACTACTTTTATGAACACAGACAATTATAAAGTAACTGTATTCCACAGGAATCATGCACAGATCAGTATAGCACCCACCAACAGTGTCCCTCTGATGGAGATGCTAGCACAGTAAATACTGAAATGGGAAAAATCTTGAGAGTGAGGAAGTATGAGCAAGGGTGGTTTGGATAAAGCAAGGCCAACTCTGTATCAGGATAATCAAGACCCCAAGAGGAAGTGTCTGCAATGTGGAGAACAATCACATCAAGATCAAAACTTTCAGACTGATTAGCAATTCTCTTGGTTCATAATCTCATGGTTATATCAAACATGCTTTAATTTACAAAGTATGAAGAAGGAGAGTAGAGAAAACAGTAACAAGATTAAACCCAAAGAGGAAAAAAAAAGAGCTTTATTTAGGGAAACATTAAATGTATCATCCAAACCTGGATACTATAGTGTGCAAAAAGGAGGTACTTTTAACAATTAATTTAGATGAAACCTGGGCAAATGGGAATGCCTGGCTATTCCAGCTCTATGGATAGAGACAGCTAATGGTAGGGGGAGCTCTAGAATCATTGATATTGATGAGGTTCTCTTTTCACCCTTCCTTCCCATTAGGAAATATTTGTCAACCAAAAAGAAAAGTAGATACTCATTACAAAGTGAGAGGAGTCACTGAAATGCATTTGTGCCTTAATGAGCTTATTAAAATTTTTTAAACATCATCTCCAAACATCATAACAATGACTCGATACCTGAGACATGGGTGATTGCATCACTCCAGCAGAACCTGAAGAGGCTACCTCAGGCTTGAAAGGGTCAAAGTCCAGATCCAACAAAGTCTCCTCCTCTTTCTTCACCTCAGGGACTTCATTCTGTTCAAATAAAACAAAAACAAAAACACACGTAGAGCTTGAATCTAGTAAGACTTCATCATATAACCCATATAATCCTCTAATATCAGTTGATATCCCAAAAGCAAGCTTTGGTAGTTTACCATTTTGGTAGTTCATCCACATGCTCCCAGAGCCACCAGCAAAATGGGATGAAAGGGAAAATAACCAACTCTGGCCGAGCATAACCTAAGACATCCAGGAACAAAGTCCGGGTTGCAGTTACTATCTTTTGTCCAACTCCATGTGAGCCAACAAAGAGAATGTCTGAAAGATGTATCCTAATACCATCAAGACCTAAGGAATCTCTTTTTTCTGCTAGTTCAGAGATCTCCATCGAGAATTTCAGATGACCAGATGGATAACATGGGCCAAGGTGTCAATTCATTACAGGTACTCACTGCTGTGATGTCCCCTAGGAAGCTAAATTTTAAAAGGAGGGATCATTGTCTACTGTGATCACATTCCACCTTCACCAGCTCCCCACAGGCTCCCTACCCCCTGGAGTTATTTATTATATTGTTGATTCCTCATCCATAATATTGTTGTTCTAACCTGAGTGTATGAGGGACGGTGAATGAGGGGGACATAGGGAAGAAGAGAACAATGGCCCCCAACACTGACTGCAAAATGAGCTTCCACCCTGATAACATTCCTGGATTAGAAAGAAGGTGAGTCCAATAAGACATAGATGAAAAGTCCTACTATGATAATAACAAAAATTTTAAATATTTAATATTTCTTCATTAATTATGATCATGACATTGGAAAAACAATGTGGGTTTGAAGTTGAACTAACCAGGTTCAGGGTACACAGTAAGAGACAGAACTGAAATAAATCCCATAAACTCTATCATGGTGAAGAGAATTGGAGTTTGCTTATATAATTCATGTGTGTTTGATATTTAATATAAGCTTCAATTTTGACCATCTGTTGTCTAAAAATAAAAGGTCACAATAATGAATTAAGTGTTACATATAAAAACACAGATGTTTAGAGAAAAACTTCAAAGGAGTTATTTTAATTAATATTGGTCATAAACAAGAAAAATTTAACTTAGAAATGTATGCAAAATTGGGAGTGTAACAGATAATACTTTTTTAATATATATATATACATTTTATAAGAAAACCTGTTTATATCATGATATTGATTTTGAGTTATCTGTTTTGCAGTATGAATACTCATCAGATATATTTTTTATTTTTCACAAGGATGATGCTCTTCTGAGATCCCCTCTTCTTTAAAAGTTACAATCACAAAACTGTCAACTGATTCCCTTGGCCACTATTCAAAGATGGCATGAGTTTTGAATTTTACCAACTTTTATAGTGGTGCAAAGTGCATTTTTCAATTTTGAAAACACATATTATACTTGAATGTACTAGGAACTGTTCTAATAACTTCATACATATGAATATTAGCTCATGTTAAAACACTTGCTACAATATAATGATAATAACTCTATTATTGCCTTTAAAGAATTACTTTACTGTATCATACAAAGTGTCTTACTTGACTTATCTTATCCTTACAAAAAAATCAAAGAGCGGATGGTGTCATTTTCCCATTTGGAGATAAGGAGGTTACCTACTGCCCTGGGTCCTCCAGTTGCAATGCAGCTGAGGCAGGACAGCAGTCAGATGCCTGTGACTCCACTGCTCTTCCAAGCTGCCACTGGGATCTGGTCCCACATCTCTCAGACAGGGACCCTCCCTATCTGCTGAGGAATTCTCAATGTTCTGCAAGTCCTCGATAAAAATTCAGGTGGTACAAATACATCCATTTGTCCCTTATGAGCCTACAGGGTACCCTTAAGGAAGTTCAAATGTAAATTTAAAGATCATGGAAGAAAACAGGCATTTGACTATAGTGGCTAGGTTGAGACTTTGATTGAGATACATCTGGGTGTACAGCCCAATTTTGCCACTTACCAGTTGTCTCTCTCTAGGCAATTAATTCAGCTTCTATTTCTTCATGCATAAAATGAGATTAATAATACCTAGTAAAATTACCATGAGTAAGATAATAAATACATTGTACATAACATATAGTATATACTCAAAATGGAAACTGAAGCTAATGCAGTTAATTACTGCTAGTAGTTATAAATAACTGCGTAAAATTACTGTCATCAAACATCCATAATACCAGTTTAGTTGCCTTTAAAATTTGTGGCAGGTTTCTCCAATTTCGATGTCTGTTTGGTTTTGTTCTTTTAATCTTTTTTTCATGGTGTACCATTATTCTTATTTAAGAATAAGTATCTTAAATAGTATCTTTGTTGTTAAAGTGGTTCAAATTTTTCCCCTGGCTTTTAGTGTAATTTTTTTAGTTCATTTTTCATTGTATTTTTTTCTATCACTATTTATCCCTCCTAGAACCTATTCCACCTCCATCCTATTGTTATGTCCATGAGTTCTTTTTCTTTTTTGCTCAATCCTTCCCCTCCTCCAACCTTGTCTTCCCCGTAACTGTCAATCTGCTCTCTATCTTTGAGTCTCTCTTTTTCTTGTTAGTTCAGTTTGTTCATTAGATTCCACATGAGTGAAATCATACAGAACTTGCCTTTCTTTGACTGGCTTATTTCACTTAGCATAGTTCTCTCCAGGTACATTCATGCTATCACAAAGAGTAAAAAAAAAAAACTTTTTTTCTTGTCTGTGTAGTATCCCATTGTACCACAGCTATTTTATCCACTCACCTATGGATGGACAGTTGGGCTGCTTCCAAATCTTGGCTATTATAAATAATACTGCAGTGACAAAGAGATCCATATACTCTTTTGAATTAGTGTTTTGGGATTCTTCGGACAAATTCCCAGAAGTGGAATTGCTGTGTCATTATGCAGTTCCATTTTTAACTTTTGTGGTGGTACCTCTATACTATTTCCATAGTAGCTGCAAAAATCTGTATTCCCACCAAGAGTGAAAAAGGGTTCCTCTCTCTCCACATCATTGCCAGCACTTGTCATTTGTTGACTTATTAATGATAGACACTGTGACAGGTATGAGGTGATATATCATTGTGGTTTTAATTTTCATTTCTCTAATGATTAATGATGTTGACCATCTTTTCATATGTCTATTGGCCATCTGTATGTCCTCTTTGGAGGTGGCTCTATTCAGGTCCTCTGCTGTTTGTGTGTGTGTGTGTGTGTGCATGTGTTGATTTTTGTAAGTTCTTTATAAATTTTGAATATTAACCCTTTACCAGATATATCTGCAAATATGTTCTCCCATTGAGTAGGTTGTCTTTTCATTTTGTTAATAGTTTCCTTTGCTGTGCAAAAACTTTTTACATTCATGTCCCATTTGTATATTTTTTCATTTCCATTGTTCATGGAGATATATCAGAAAAAAATACTGGTACAAGCAATGTCCAATATTTTACTGCTGATGTTTTTTCCGAGGATTTTTATGGTTTTGAATCCAACATTTAATTCTTTAAACCATTTTGAATTTGTTCTTGTGTGTGGCTTAAAAAGGTGATCTAGTTTCATTTTCTGAATGTATCCGTCTTACTTTCCCAACACCATTTATTGAATAAATTATCTTTAGCCTATTGTATGTTTTTGCCTCTTCTGTGAAATGTAATTGACTATAAAGGCATGGGTTTGTTTCTGGGCTCTCTATTCTTTTCCATTGATCTATATGCTTTTATGCTAGTACCATGCTGTTTTGATTAATCTGTCCTTATAATATAGTCAGGTAGCATAATTCCTACACATTTGTTCTTTCTCAAGATAACATTATCATTTGGGGCCTTTTGTGGTTCCATATACATTTTTGTGAAATATGTCATTGGTATCTTGTTAGGAATTTCATTGAATCTATAGACTGCTTTGGGTAGTATGGACATTTTAATGACGTTAATTCTTCCTGTCCAGAAACACCATATGTTTCCACTTCTTTTTATCTTCAGTTTCCATCTTCAGTGTCTTATAATTTTCTAAGTATAAGTCATTTACATTCTTGGTTAAATTTATTGCTAGGCATTTTATTCTTTTTGAAGCAATTGTGAATGGGATTGTTTTCTTTATTTACATTACTGGTAGTTCATTATTGCATCTGCTCTCTGGATATTAATTTTGTATCTGCTACTTTACTAAATTTATTTATCAGTTCTAGTAGTTTTTTGGTGGAATCTTTAAGATTCTCTCTATAAGGCATCATGTCATCTGCAAATAAAGACAGTTTGACTTCTTTTTCAATTGGATGCTTCTTATTTCTTCTTCTTGTCTAACTGCTGTGGCTAGGATTTAAAATACTATGTGTAATAAGAGTGGTGAAAGCAACATCCCTGTCTTGTTCCCATTCTTGAGGGGAACACTTGCAGGTTTTGCCCATTGAGTATGATGTTGGCAGTAGGCTTGTCATATAAAGCCTTCATTATGTTGAGGTATGTTTCCTCTACTCCAAATATGTGGAGAGTTTTTAGGTGCTGGGTTTTATCAGATGCTTTTTCTGTATCTATTGATATAATCATCTGGTTCTCTTCTTCAATTTTTTTATGTGGTGAATCACATTCATTGATCTGTGAATATTGTACCAAATTTCCATAAATGGGAAAATCCCACTTGATCATGGTGTATGATCTTTTCGATGTATTGCTGCATTTAGGTCACTAAATTTTTGTTAGGATTTTAACATCTATGTTCATCAGAGATATTGGCCTATAAATTTCTTTTCCCATATTGTCTTTATCTGGTTTTAGAAATATGATAATGCTGGCCTTGTCAAATGAGTTTGGGAGTCTTCCCTCTTCTTGAATTTTTTGGAATAGTTTGAGAATAAGAGGCTTTAGTTTTTGCTGGAATGTTTGGTAATTCATCTGTTAAGTATATGGTCTAGGGCTTTTGTTTGTTGGGAGTTTTTTGATTACTGCTTCAATTTCTCTATTTGTACTTTATCTATTCTGATTCTCTGATTCTTCCTGATACAGTTTTAGGAGATTGTATGCTTATAGGAATTTATCCACT